TAAGCCGTACCTAAAAAAAAAAAAAAAAAACCCGATCGCCCGCATGGGAAGAAAACGGCGGGAAAACGAAGCGGTGCATGTGTGAAACGCCGAACCGCTTGTGAATCGGCTCCTTTCCGGTAGGGGCAAGCCGTGTGTGAAACGGCAGCCCCGTACCGGTTCATCTGGAAACGGAAGACTCCCGGTTTGAAACCGGGAGAAAACTGGTAATGTGAAATTCCCCAAGCTTTCTGTTCTTGTTTGATTCATTGGTATGCTCATCTGTCACTTCAGTTGTGAAAAGTTGTAATGTTGTAAAGCTGCAGTGAATCATTCATTGCCTGGCTATATGTAAAGGAAAGGGGAGGAGGGATTGTATAAGCCCAAGGATCCCCTGGCTTGCATATAGTGTAAACTGTCTGGGACTGTTATGTCCTAATTGCTGTAGCAAAGAGTCATAAAAAACATTTTCCTAAGGACAGGTTGGTTGAGGTGCAGAGATGAAAGAGTACCACCTCCCTTCATAGAACAGGATATGATCTGCCAATACCACATTATAATAGGTATGGCCAATGTCAGCAGCACTCCTACAAAGCTATCAGTGGTTTACAGACATTTAAAGAGCCCACTGAGCCAAATTCCCAACCTGAAAGAAGAATGTATTAAGCCAGTAAGAAAAATGGATTAAGGATCACCAAACTGAGTGAGTGGCACCTTCTTGTGGGGGAAATGTCAGTCTAAGTGCCTACAAATGGGCTCACTTGAGGTTGTTTCCTTTTCTGACACAATCTCATGGATCTTTCTTAGATTTGTTACTAGTTCTCTAGAATTTAATTTTATTGTATTATGTTTAAACCCTTTAATTTGTTATATTTATGTGTTGTGAGTCTCCCTGAGGCTGCTTGTGGGGTAGGGTGGGATATAAATCAAATAAAATAAATGCCACCTTCACTCAGAGATTAATTCCATATCATCACAGGGTATGTGTGCATGGAGCTGGAAAACAGGTACACAATGGGTTCACAGTTTTATTCAAGTGCATTTTTCACTTGAGTTTTTACAATGAAGGCACTATATGAAATTGCATTCTCAATTATATCCCCTATTATTTCCATGTGACATAATTTCAGCTAATGTTGTAAGAGTCTGTATTAGGGAGGGGGGAGTTGGTCAAAATCCCCATTCATATGGACAGATTTGTGCTTCAAGCCTTTCCTTTGATATAAGGCATTATTACAATTTTATTAAATTCCCCAATGAAGAAGTATCCAACCACAAACTTACATAAGAAATAGGGGGGAGGTATCACAGATTCCAAAGATTTTGATACACAAAAAAACAATGCATCCCATTCACAATTTAGGCTTACTTCCATGTGCCAAGAATTTATAAAATCTAGCAATTATCATAAAACTGGCATTTGCATTCACAGAAGGAGTGAATCCATCCATCTTACATGACTACTTAGGACATTAGCTTTCTTAAAGGTTCTCATCATAGGTGTATCATAAGATGCAGCACCGTGCCCCCTCAAATGTCCTTTGATGTATTCAGCCTACAAAGTGTAGCAACACAGCAAGGTTAGAACTGCACATCTCCCTCAAGAGAAAGCAAGGCAGAGTGAGAGAGAAGAAGTGGTGTCCTTATTTTGGGGAGTAGAAGGAGGAAGGCCCATTAGAAACCGCCTAAAACTATTCCACATTCAGGAGGAATCAAAAAAGAAAAAGCCTATACTAGTAGATGAAAATGCTGAAACAAAAAAGAACACATTTGGGGGAAGGGGTAAGCATAAAGAAATATCCTATACTTCCACCTACATTGTAGAAATTGTAGAATAAAAATGAGCATTAGCATAGTTAACAATGAACATTCATGAGATAATACATTGGAAAGAAAACATATTATTTATATACAAATCCATTTTTTCCAGTGATTGAGCAATTTTGCTGGGGCAGTTTCACATATAGCTGAATAATGCGCTTTCAATCCACTGGATTTTACTGTGCAAAATGGCAAAATCCACTTGTAAACGATTGCTAAAGTGCATTGAAAGCAGATCATTCAACATGTGTGAAAGAGCCCCTAGGTTTTCTTCTGAAAAACCAACAAGTTTCTCACATATTGTCAGAAACTGAACAAAAAACATTCTCAAGTAGGTCCATGTCTGTGAAAAAAAATCACAAAATGGTTTCAGACTATTAGGGGAAATTACAATGATGATTACATTTTACTACCAAAGGAAGTTAAGCAGAGCTAAAGGTCATTCATATTGTTCATTTTATTACTTTTCTCTGCTCTTAACCTAAGGGCAAACTAGATGATTTGCTGGGAGAGTCATAAATGGATTTCCCAAGTGTTTATTGGCAAGCAGCAGCTGTAGGTCCATCTGTTAGGGTGTGGGGAAGGGCACGGATGGATGAAGTGCCTTGCTGATTCTTTCCTTGCAAAATACCCAGCAAGCTTCCATGGCACAAGAGTGGATTTGAACCCAGGTCTCTCAGATACTCTTAACCCCAACACCACACTGGCTCTCCTAAGTTATTGCTCTTTGACAGCCTTATAATCACATTGCCACACATTCTGGAGACCATTTGTTCATACCTGGCTTGTAAGTCTGGACACCTCCTTAGCAAGTTCAATATCGGGACGTCCAAGCATGCTGACTCCCATACCAGCTTCTCTTCGAGCCTTGGCTTTGTACTGAATCTATGGGGGGGGAATGCAGGTCATTCAAAAAACTTTGTCTTCTTTTGAATGAAGTTAAAATTTAAATCTTGAAATAATTTAAATACATGCTACAGAACTGAGCAGGAACTCTGAAATGTACTCACATCACTGACTAGCTTGGAGACTTGAGAAGCTTTTTTAATGTCTGGTCGGTCTGCCACAGATGTATAATTAAGTTTGGATTTTGCATCTTTTTTGTACTGAATCTAATAAGTAAAAAGAAACATATGGAAAAGTGATTCTTGTAGTGTTCTCTAACTAGAAAAAGACAAGCGTGAGATGGAAACCAATTGTAATTTTACCATGAGGTTTGATATATGAAGTATGGGCTCAGTGTTTACAGGCCATAAGCAAATACTTATCATTAGATAAGAAGATTTGTCCATGGCTTGCAAGGACCCCTGGAAGAGGGTTGGTGTATCTCTTTGACAGAGTATGCAGAGAAGATGGATAGTGCTTCCCCTACCTTCATGAAGCCCTGAGAATGTAGGCTAGGTGAAACATAATTGCTGTTTCCCACGGAGATTAACAAAAGCTGTTCTATGGAACAGTAATGCTGCACTATGGGGCAGAGTGAGGGAAGAGTATTAAGTTCCCACCAACTCCCATTTTACCTTAACAGCCTTTCTAGTTCCAGGTTACTTTCTCCCAAGTTTGCCAATAAGAGCTGCTGTTTAGGATGAGAGAAGGTAAAGCACCCCATGCAGAAAGCCCATTTAGGTGATGTGGTAACAGAGGTAAGGCTACTTGGACAATAATCTTAGCCGGATTTTCATTTGAATATATTATTTCATACACGTTCACATTTGCACCTCAGATTGGAATTCTGAAGCCCAATCAAGTGCAAAACTAAAATAAAGATTGTTTTTAGATTTCAAGTTGATAGTAGGCTTGAAAATAGTGGTGCAACATGTGTCTAAGACTCATCAAACTGCTGGGTAAGTTTTTTTTTACAGATGTGTTTATTAGTTTTTCTTAGTTATATAGTACATTCAAATCCACATGTCAAATACAATTCGAGTCTATTGTCTTATCTTTTCCTCTATCCATTTATACACTCTCGACCATTTCTTTAAATAAACATTTTCATCTTCATCTTTCAATAACATATTTAATTTATCAATTTCTGCTAAATTCATAATTTTATCAATTATCTCTTTCCCCGGGAATATCTTCCGATTTCCATTTTTTTGCAAAAAGAATTCTAGCTGATGTAATTATTAAAATTATCAGACATTTATCAACATATCTCATATCTTCTGGTATTATATTAAGTAAGTAGCATTCTGGTTCTAATTTTATTTCTATATCAGTAATATCTGCTATTTTCTGTATTTTTTGCCAATACATTTGAGTTTTAGAGTAACACCACCACATATGGTAATAAGTGCCGACCTTGATTTTACATTTCCAACATTTGTTATCATTTTTATTATAACATTTCGCTATTTTTTCAGATGTCCAGTGCCATCTATAGAACATCTTAAATATATTTTCCTTATATGTAATAGCTTTCATCATTTTAGATGTTTTCCATATTTTATTCCAAATCTCCATTTCTATATTATGACCTGTATCTCTTATCCACAAAGTCATTACCGGGTTAATCGCTTCTTCTAACATATAATCGTTTAGTTGTAATTTATACAATTTTTGAATAAGTTTATCATTGGAAGATAACCAAATCTTGTCAAGTTCATTTTTATTACTTTCGAAACCTTGGGATTTATCTTTAGCATATCTTGATTTTAATTATAAGTATTGCCAACATGATAATTGTATATGTTGTTGTAACAACTTATCTTCACTTTTCAAATCATTGTTTTCTTCTAAAAGTACTTCATAACCTTCTCTATTGTTTTTAGCAATTAACAAGGGTTTCATGAATGCCTCTAAAGGTGATACCCATTTTGGAATTCTTATATAATATCTTTCTCTTATAGAGTTCCATGTTTTGATCAATGATCCTCTTATTATGTGTTGGTGGAAGTTAGAATGAATTTTGTCTTTTCCATGCCAGATGTGTGCGTGCCACCCCATGCTTAGGTCATGTCCTTCTAATTTTAATGCTGGGTAACTTTTAAAAAGCTATATACTTAAATCTTATATTTTCTAATCCCATTTCATAACATGTGCACATAAAACAGATGACTCTCCGACTTACAGGATGCTTCCAGTATGACCTTTGGTTTTAAATGTGACCTTAGACTTTACAGAAATTGTTCATGTAGGATTTTGAATGGAGTACCTGCTGAAGAAACTTACATTACTCTGGCTTTTTGCAACTTCCATTGCATGCTTTACATCAGGAGGCTCCAGCATGATTGAATAGTTGGACTTGCCTTTCTCCTTCTGAAACTTCTTTTTGTAATTTGTCTGTTTAGAACAGAAAGAATGTCCCTCATTCTCCAATCAAGATATAATTTAGATATGCATTTAGATCAATCATTTGCAGAAAGATGGATGGCAACTTTGTCATACAAAGAAAACTAGTGGATATTTGTGTATATATCTTTTCAGGTTAACTAGCTTTATCTCCTAAGTCATCTTATCTTATCTTTTTCACAGTGCCATCCTATATTGTTATTCCAGTCTAAACAGACTGAAATCAATAGATAGATTCAGGTGGGGTAGCCATGTTGGTCTGAAGCCATATAAAAAGTCTGATTCCAGTGGCACATTTAAGGCCAACAAAGTTTAATTCTGGGTGTAAGTTGTCATGTTATCTTTCACTTGCTTTCACCATGCATCTCCACTGGGTTTTCTTTTTCATTCTGCATTTTGTTTCCTCCACTCAGCATTCAGTTCGTTTTCCATTCACCAGTCTGAAAGTGCGTTTGTGCTGGGGTTTTCCTTGCTTCGCTTCCATATTGAAGGAAAGTCAAAACCATAACGATTTCCTTGGATTCCCCCCCCCCGCCGCCTTGTCCCCACCCATCGTAGGCCACTCCCTAGCCTACATTTATTTTTTCTTCAAATGGCATGAGTTTAGCATATAAGACCATTGCTAGTCTGATGCTGCTTGTAAAAAAAATGACTCCCTGTAGGGTTACCCTCTCCTGCTGCCCAGGTTGAACCAGGTGGCATGAGAAGGCAGCATGAGAAGGCACCATCGGCTCCCTGCACACACAGCAAGCCCAGCTGGGCTGTCCTTTCCCACCGCCCAGTTCCAACTGGGTGGCAGGAGGAAGCAGCACCAAGTTGCACTTGCTGGGAGCCATCAGCCCCCCAAACACAAAGCGAGCCTGGCCGGGCTGTCCTCTCCCATCACCTGATTTCAACTGGGCAGCAGGAGGAGAAGCACTGAGCTGTGCCTGCCAGGAGCCATTGTTTCCCCGTACACACAGGGTGCGTTCAGACGCGGCGTTTCAGCCGGCATAAACTGTACCGGTTGGAACCGGTGCAGTTTATGCCGGCTGAAACGCGATCACACTTACCTCCCTCACAGCAAGTGCAACTTGGTGCTGCTTTTTTTTTAACCTCAGTTTGACCATGCGCATAGGCAGCCATCTACAGAATGGCGATCTTTGCGCATGCTCAAAACACCCCATATTACATTTAAATTTTAAAGGTAAGGACTTACCTTTAAAGTTTAAAGCCCAAACTGGCCTCCCTGAAGTCCCGGACTCCTCTGAACGGTAAACTAAGGGCCTTTTTTTTTTAAAACAAACGCTCAGGGCGAAGCTTTGCCCAAGTGCACATCGCATACTTAAAAAAAAATGGCGGGGGGAAATCGGAAGCCTCAGGCTTCCAAACGGAAGTGGCTGTACAACGTTGGAGAGCGTTCAGCCGGGGGGGGGGTACAGCGATTACAACTGTTGTACTCAGGATACCACCACTTGGGGACCTAGTGGCAGAGTACAACGGTGTAAATGTTTGCTGTGTGAACGCCGGTAAGTATACCGATTGCAGCTGGCACCTATACCATTGTAAATCCCCCGTCTGAACGCACCCAAAGTGAGCCCAGCTGGGCTGCCTTCTCTGCCGCCTGGTTCAAACCAGGTGTCACGTGAAGGCAATTCAGAGGTCGGTGTATTTATTCTGGGCTGCAGAATAAATACACCAGAGAAAAAGAATGGTGCATACTGCAGGCACAGAATCTGTTTGTTGTTTTTGTTGTTCAGTCGCACAGTCAAATTCGACTCTTTGTGACCCCATGGACCAGATCATGCCAGGTCCTCCTGTCTTCCGCCATCCTCTGAAGTTTGCTCAATTTCATGTTCGTTGCATCGGTGACACTGTCTAAAGGCTTGACTGCTCAGATTCTCTGCAGTAAGCTTTGTGTGCATAATAATCCTCTGTTGATCTTAAAGGTGCTACTGGACTCAGACTGAAATTAGTAGAATTATTTTCGCACTAGAGCTGCCTCAATGTTGCGCCGCCGTTTGCCCCAATACTATTGGTCAATTTCACACCCGAAGCTGTGGGGCTGCATTTTGACTCGCGGCCTCGCCCAAATTCCCCCGCAGTTTCGTGATCCTGTTTTTTGAGGATCACAAAACTGCAGAGGAAATAGAGCAAAGCCGCGGGTCAAATGCAGCCCCGCGGCTTCGGGTGTGAGTATCGGGGCAAACGGCGGTGCAACATCGAGGCAGCTCTAGTGCGAAATCAGCCTTAGACTGGAGTAATTCTGCATAGGATTTACACTATTAGTTTGATTGAAAGGGAAGATATACTACCAAACTGGAAACAAATGAGAATAACACCAACAGGAAGGGTTGATCTCTTTAAGAAAATAGTACCAATTAAGAATAAAGTGATCATTAAACCTCTCTCCACGCCATTTTTTTGCAGTTTCTGAAAATATTAAGGCACAAACCATAATCAGCTATTTGAAGTCCCAGTACCTTCTATTTATTTACAATGGGAAAAAAGAACAAAATACTATATTAAACCTCATTTTAGAAAATTGTTACTATTATTACCACTTTTAAATATAATCCATCATTCCCTTGAATAGAAACCTTTATGGTTGTATTACACGGACAAAACAAAAGGATACACTCACAAACAAGGCTGGGGTTTCTGCATATATGAGGGACTTCAGGGACATCATATGTATGCATGCAATATCACCTTGTTAATTAAAAGGGCAACTCATCCCCCCAAAATCCAAAGATGGACTGAGCATGTGCATTGCCCTCAGAGTGTTGAGAGAAGGTGAGAGACAGTTAAATGAAAGAAAAACAAAGGAGATGAGTGAATTGGCCTGCTCAAGCCACTAAGTGCTTATACTAGGGGGAGAAGGGGCCAGTCTGTCAGTGGGTGAGAAAATTTTCCTGTAGTTTATCCCCCTTGTGATTCCTTGCAAGCCTCTGGTTTGTCACTTCCTAATTTGCAAAGCACCTCATAATCAGATGTGCATTCCTAATTGAATTGGTCACAAATCTTCCCCATTTTTTTCAGTGTATAACTGGATTTCTAAAGCCATTTTCTTCAAGTCACATGCTGGGCTTCCATATACACACCTGTCCACCAAAGCCATTAGAAATATGATTAGTTTCCATTATGAGACCAATTATATTGTTATTAATCCCTTCAGTATTGATAAACAAGTAGCAATTAGCATATGGTATAATTGCTAAGGATAAACAATCAGGTACAGAGAATAAATCAAAACAAACACAAAAATCTACTCGACCTGCGAAGTGAATAAACTGGCAGTAGCTTACCTCACTGACATTCTTAGTTACTTCTTTAACGCGAATAGTATCACGTGTCTCAGGCAATGTTGTGAAAGATCCATGTGGAAGGTGCTTCCTTACATGTTCTTTGTATTTGTTCTAATTATGAAGAGTAAAAGTATTTCAACAATCAAACCTCTCAAGAATGAAAACATTTTTAAACCAGAAGATTGTAAAAAAATTTTTTACCTCAGACACCAGAGAGCTAACAGCTTTTGCAAGCAGAATCTGAGGAGTATCTGGAACAGAATGGATAGTTCCTCTTTCTTTGTTATGTTTCTCCTTATATTTTAGCTGGAATGTGGGATGTAAATATATTACTTTTAAGCAACATTCATAAATGTGGATAATTGTTTCAATTTATATTGTTTAGTAACTCTTACTAGAATGAAACCTTAAATAAGAATATTTACAAAAATGAGGCTTAAAGTACTTTTTGTTGCAAATGGTTTGCAACAGGAACACAAAGATACTATGATGCTGTGGCCACACGGGCACAGTAATTCCGCTTTGTTCCCACTTTAATTTAATCAGGAATATTTTTCTTCGGGACGGGCTGATAAGATGCAGCCGGCCCCTCTTTTCCACCACCCGCTCGCCTGAAAATCCTTCCCCTCTCTCCGCCCACCTGCCTGCCTGCCCGCCTGCCTACCAGCCCACCCGGGCGGCCCAGGAGACAGCTTGAGGACTCAGCGGCACTTCCTGAATCTCTCCCAGCAGGGGGAAAGCCTGGAGAAGACCAACGGCCCCAAGATCCCAGCAGGGTCCGCTCCACAGAAGCCCTCCCCCCCACCGCAGCCGCTGCCAAACCCAAGGGCGCACGAAACCGCTGCCTCGTGCTCCCTGCGCCACCACTGCCTCCTCTTCCACCTTCCCTCCCTTCCAAAGCCTGCCGCAGTAGCTGCTATTGTCACCCGGAGCACCTTGCAGAGGACTTTGCTCATCCGCCTGGCTCAGGCAGAAGCCTGGGGGGGGGGATCTCATTGTGGAGGAAACGGTCAGACAGCCCTAATCGCAACCATTGCGATCGATGGCTGTCCAGATAGGCGAAATCGCGCGTTCAAAGCGCAAGTACAAGGAAAACACCTGTTCCAACAGGTGTCAGAAAACGCGGATAAAAAGACCGGAAACCGCGGGACTAAGCCCGCTTCGGTGCGGGAGGCGGGTTTGCCAATATGAACAGGAAACTTTAATGCACGAGGGATCAGCAGCAAAGCCCGCACTAAATGTCCATGTGACCTGAGTGAAAGTGTTATCACTCACTACAGTTTATACATCAATTAATTTTACCTCCAATGTACAGGACTTGTAACTTCATAAAAGGTTATAAAACCACTCACATCACTCGCCAAAATGGCATTCTGTAAAGCCAACACTGTGTTTTTGTCATCTGTTACGGAGATCTTGCATCCTTTAAAGTATTTTAGGTCATACTTGTAGTCATACTGGAAAGAAAAGGACAATAAAGATGATATATGTGTGGCCATTTCCAGCTATGGTATCATTTGCCACTTTAAGAAATAATGCTAGTGAATGCAGTTTTTTCTCATTTCCTTACATCACTCTGTTGCAAAGATGTTTTGGCATTTTGGATGAAGTCAGGTCTGTCCACAGTCCAATGCCAGTGAGCCTTGGCGGCTTCATATTTCTTCTTGTAATCCAGCTATTTAAACAGAAATAGAAACATAGATCACACTCTCTTTTGCAAAGAGCCACTATGGGAATATCTATACTGCAGACCATTACTATTTCCTCTCCCCAAGGAATACTGTTGTATGAGACTTCCTGGAGATTTACAAGAGAAAATTCTCAGCACCTACACAAGACACCGGGGATGTTCCCCAAAAAAGAGTAAAATGCTGTGTTTAAAATAATGCCTCTTTTCAAAGTGTGTCCATGGAGTAACTGCTAGTTCCAGGTTTGGGAACTTGCAGTTTTATTGGGTCTGCCCAACCTTTCCTGAAAGCCTCATTGAACAGATCTGACTAGGATTCTCAGTACACCTGCTTACAATTGCTCTGTAAGTTACATACCTAGTGGCTTGGTCCATCAGAGGCTCAATAAACTTCCTCTTTCTGCCATAAGCCTAAGACAGCAAAGCAGATCACAACTCTCACAAGAGATCAGGTAGCCCTATTGGTCATGCATTGCTTCCAATGCTGTGCTTAAAGACATCTGGGTCTCAAGTGGAGAAGGACCTGCTTCAGGTGGAAGTGGTAGGGATGAGAGGCAGCAGGTGAATGTGCAGAGGTGGGGGCTATGGCTAGAAGAACCAGGTGGGTGGGCAGCCTCAGGTGGCATCTCTCAGTTTCCATGAGTAAAAATGAATGCTTATTTTCCTAAGCGGCACAGGGATCTCTAGGAAAGCTGGGACCTGGGAATCAACAACATCTCTCTTATGTTCTCTGCCTCAAAAGACATAATGGTCAAATGGTCTCTTGCCTGCACTCTCCTGTCCACATAAGAATATGAGAATTAGCATTCAAAATGGCCTGTGTTGAGCAGGTCTTTAGCATCCAGTCTCCTCTGTTTTCCCTGGAAGGCAAAAGAGAGAACTAAAATTGAACTCACATTGCTGTTGACTTTGTAGGCCTGTTTGGCAGCCTTTATGTGGACAGAATCTGGTACCACATTGCAGTGGGACTTATTTTGCTGATAAAGTTCTTTGTATTTCAGCTGTTGGAAGAACAAAAGATCAATGTTTTTCATCTACATAAGGACTGCAACAACAAAGTTAAACAGAAATCAACCAGCAACAGACAACTGTGTTGTAGGAAACGGTGGAAACCCAGCTGCTGCTTGCATACATCAATGTATTCAGGAGGAGTGTTAGATGGACCATGGCCAGTGAACATGGCCCCTGATTATAGTTTTTTTGCAGTCCAATATCAATGTATGGATTTCTTTCAAAGATTCAGAGTGATCCAATGTCTAGAAACATCAGAATAAACTGTATTAATTTATAGGTAAAGGTAAAGGTTCCCTTGCTCGAAAGCCAGTCGAATCCGACTCTAGGGTTGCGGTGCTCATCTCCGTTTCAAAGCCGAAGAGCCAGCGCTGTCCGAAGACGTTTCCGTGGTCATGTGGCCGGCATGACTAAACACCAATGCGCACGGAACGCTGTTACCTTCCCACCGAAGTGGTCCCTATTTATCTACTTGCAATTTCTTGCTTTCGAACTGCTAGGTTGGCAGGAGCTGGAACTAGAGACAGGAGCTCACCCTGTCTTGCGGCACCCGGGTCTTGAACCGCTGAACTACTGACCTTCCACTGCCTGCAGTTCAGCGTCTTAACCACTTGAGCCACCGCAGCTCCACATGTGTCATCCTAAACAGATATGTACCCTTCTGGATCCATTGAAGTCAATGGCCTTAGAAGGGTTAAATCTGCTTAGGATGGCCTTACTAGTATACTTGGATGTAGGATGTATTTGATTATTATGTTACATCATACTGAACTTCAGATGATTCATACACATGATGCCTCTAGTTATATGTGAGCTTCCCCCTTCAATTGGAAACAAACCTATTCAAATTAATTTTCTCTTAATTAAAAAGCTGGACCATAAATATTATTTCAGAGTGAAATCCTTGTTGCATTTCCAGCAATGTCAAGTTACCTCCCAACTTTCTATGGCCTACCAGAATTTCCCTTTCCCAAACTTATCCTGGCAAGAGAAGGGGTAAGACTAATAGCATGGAGGGAGTGTTAAGCTTGAAGGCCTCAGCTATTCCTCTGCTAACACAGGAACTACAGGAGATGTAATAATACGTACTTCCCAATTCAATAGATTTTAAAAAAAAAATTACTAGCAGGAGGAAGAGAAAATAGATGTTCTATTTATACAACAGCATTTAGCCAACATGGAACTATATTCTGAAGCTCTAGTTTCAGAACTGTTTTGCAGCAAATATCAACAGCATTTATAAACAGTACACTACCTGTTGAATTTAAAATGAGATTTATCGAGTTGATGATAAAGCTGGCTCTTATGGAAACAATCTAAACCTGATTCAGAAATATATAGTAACACAAAATAAAAGATAAAAAGGTATATTACAGATGTTATTGTATACAGCATAAAAGGCAAGGTCTACTCACATCACTTATTCTATCCTTGACCTTGCGTACATGGAGCAACATGGGAGTGTCATGGATTGTGGTATATCCTTTTGCTCTGGCCTTGACATGGTCCATCTTATAAATGATCTGTCAGAAAGAAAGCACCAGATCACCATCTCTAGTAATTATGAGAAACATTTTCCTTTGAAAAAGGAAATCAAACTGAAACTGTAAACAGACACGTTTATTATCTATAAAAAGCCTTAATAAACTTCGATAGGGCAAACTATGTACCTTCCCCAATGCTTATTCAGCTGGTATCAGGTAATAATAGCAGCTATAGAAGACAGCCAAGGCTCTGTCATCTTTCCCCCCATTCCACTTCAGTGTTTGTCTTGCTCCAAGAGAAATTAGCTTTGGCACCTGAAGAGACCTGTTAGGAGCTAGTTTTGCGAGCAACTGAAATGGCGTGCCCAGGGGTCATTTCCTGCAGGAGCACACAAGAGCGGAGCTCCGGCAGTAAAGCCCAGGGGGCGGGCACCTGCAACAAGCCCCGCCCCATGCTCCCAGCAGCTCTCAGTCAGAGCAAGAAACAGACAGGTAAGCTGCAGAGCCCCCCCCGGCCCCCGGTCCAAAACAGTTCAGTGGCACCTTTAAGACCAAGTTTTATTCAGGTACAAGCTCTCCCTCCTCTGTGAGGACAGATCTGCACGTTCCCCCCCCCAATAGCTAGGAATCCAAAACAGTCCAGTGGAGCCTGAGCGGTGGGTGTTGCCTTCTGACACACTTCCGGTGATGTCAGGGGGTGTGGCATATGCAAATGAGTTATGCTAATGAGCTCCTGCACCTCTCTTTCTACGAAATGACCCCTGGGCGTGCCTATCATCTAACCCAAAAGTGTGACACTGGTGATTTGTGAGCATGCTCGAGGCTGGGCTATAAAGCCATGGCCACTGCTAGATGCTCCACTATCAGCAGTAGCAGGAGAGGAACAGAATGAGAAATGATGGTTCTTCTTTGCTCCTGATGGCTGGTTCTTGAGTGGAGACATCAAGACAAGAGAGCCACCTGCCATGTTATTGGAAATTTTGAGTGATGGTGAGTGATAATGCCATCTGTGGGGGAAAGGAAGCGGAACTGGATCTAGGTGAGAAATGGACCAGTATGCTCACAAGTTATTTCCCCCCTTCCTCCCTTTTGTGTGAGTTTTCATCTATGCTGTTGTTTCATCTGCTGATTTTATTTTATGCTATCCTAGGGATTTTATGCAGCCACTGTTTTAATTAGCACTTTAATTGTGTTAATTTTGTTTTTATTACTATTGTAAGCTGGTTTGGATGGAGGCATATGATTTTCTTTTATATAATAAAAAAGGAGTGTTATGCCAAGGCTGGGGACACCTGAGTCCAAGTCCCCACTCCACCATGAACTCATTGGATGTCCTCAGGTGAACCAATCTCTCTCAGCCTAATCTACGAGGAGGGGAATCCATTTGTGCTGCCCTGAGCTTCTTGGAGAAATGTTGCCTTTAAAAATCTAAGACGCAAGTAAATAGTACGTGTGGAGGTATCCCATGCCCCACCCAGTCACACTGAAGGAACATAATGATTACTTGGTTCCACTGATTTGCCTAGGGATTCTCATCTAACTAGTCAGTAGAGAACCTCATTTATTTTTCCTGTTCTAGATGATTAGTACAATGGCATCTGACCAAGCTGGTATTATTTGTTGCTCCTATTTGAACTTTTCTTCACACATACACTTGACCCTGAAAATCCTGACTGCCCCTCTGAGATTAGTGCAGAAAGACACTTAATGCCATCTCTTTTACAGTTTCCATACATACCTCACTGATTTGCTTGTTGACTTTCGTTGTCCTCAGATGCTCTGGAGTATCCACAATGCTTGTAAACTTGTCCTTCTGCTTTTCATATAACCTTTTGTACTTGTACTATTGATGGAAAAATACATAACAGTTACTGGCATGAAACACAACACAAACACACAAAACACAAAAGTGATGATAAATTATAAATTTTCCAGCTCCTCTCAAACCAAGGGGCTTGCCTATATGAATATGCACATTGTGTGATACATTTTAGAAGGTGCCCATAAGGCCTATGGAAATTAATGAGGTTGTATGAGCTGATGCGTTTGAGGAACAGCTTATTGAGTTGTGTATTCTTTGGTTTTATAATACCTTTAATTAGGATTCT